TATTTACAAAAAAACAATATCTAAGTATTCATATTAGTTGGATAGTACCCATAACACAAGTTCTGCTTAGCGTGGGAATAGATGGCGCTGTATTAATTATCCAGGATTATTTATTTATATATTCTTTATTGCACTTTTAAATACAGTTCTAAACTTAAACATATACAAAGTGAGCAAAGGTGGACTTATCTCTAAGAGAGATCTCTACCAGTCAACCCAACAATGTGGCATAGCTAGTAGTGAGTAGGTAACACCTGTACAATTCTATTACGTTGAAATGTCCAAAAGTTGAGAATTATAAAACATTTAAAATTCAACAAATTAAATAAAGTTATATTACAATTATAATAAAATATACAATAACAAATAAAATAAACATTAACAAAAGTTATATATATATATTTACATACATATACTATTACTATAGATATATTACACAAAATACAAATAATAAAATACATGTTGAAACTAATCATAATAAGGTCGATAAATAGAGTGATTTCAACCTTTTCTTAAAACAACCAATTGATGGACTTTCCTGTATCTGTACTGGTAGTTTGTTCCATAACCGAGCAGCGCGAAATGAAAAGGAATTTCCTAAGAATTGAGACTTGCCAAGTGGAAGTTTTAACATTTTGGAGTGGTTTTGGCAAAGACGTCTAGGTCTAGTAGGAGGGGGCAAGAATTGAAATCGGGATTTAAGGTAAGCAGGAGCATTGGGATTATTAAGGATGTTATAGAGCATGGTCAGGATGTGCATATTATGTCGAAGGCGGATTGGGAGCCAATTTATTTATTATTTATTGTTAAAATTTTGTTCAACAACAAAATCGAGTAATATTTACTAAGTACTCGTATTAAATATACACTGTTGTATTAGGTTATATATTATCTATTTTTGACAGTTAGTTACATAAACATCTGACATTAATATTGTGACAATTGAATGTAAATCAAACATAAAGTAAAAACGTAATCATAAAAATAGATGAAGGATATACAAACAGGTAAAAGAACAAACGAATAGAATAATCGAATCAGTAATGTTCTCGTTATTACACTCGGCCGATTATTAGAAAACGCTTACAGAGGTTACATCCTTTGTTTTAGTAGATTGTATACCAAAGTATTAGAAATAGAATAGAACAATAAGAATAGAAAATCGTTTATTCAAATAAACTTAATTTAAGCACTTTTGAATAATCATAATTTTTTTTTAATAGAATAGAATAGAATAGAATAGAAAATCATTTATTCAAATAAACTTAATTTAAGCACTTTTGAATAGTCATAACAATTTGTTTTTTATCTACCACTCATTCGGAAAGCTGTCTCATCACAAGAAGAACGAGCAAGAAACTTGTGTATTGCTCTTTTAAATAATCCTTGTAAGTTCACAAATATACTTATGAATACAAATGTTTGTATTGTGCGAAAAATCGAATCTGTAACTATGAGAACTAAAGCGGTGTGTCTAACCGGAACGCAGCGTCGGAATGATATCAAACCAGACAGTGGTAACGAACGTATGTATGATATCCGTCGTAATCTTTTTCTTATATATAAAATTCTCGTGTCACAATGTTAGTTACCATACTCCTCCCAAATGGCTTGATCTATTTTTATGAAATTTTATATACATATTCAGTAGGTCTGAGAATCGGCAACTATCTATTTTTCATACCCCTAAGTGGTAAGGGATGGCGACCCCTAAATATATTTTTTGTATTTTTCGACATAATATTTTATTTTCATTTTATTATTATTTAAGATTGAAAAATACATACAACCTTAAATTTTCATTGATGCTATAAGTCGTTGATTTTCTTAACCATTAGTTCAATAATAATGTTAGTGGAACCATTATATTATCTGTGGTGGAACTAATGATTTCGAAAGTCTTAGTTCAATGACTTGAGGTCTATTTGTTGCATTCTTCAAGTAAAAATATCTTTATAAGAAAGAAAGAATGAAATAAATAAATAAAAGAAAGAAAGAATAAATATTTAACCAGTGCTTTTCAATAATGTTTGTAACATTATTGAAAAGCAAAAAAAAAATATTATCTTCCTAAGTGGGCATATTGGGAGACTGTAAAGCTCACTTAGTACGATGTAAATAAAAAAATAAATAAATAAAATAGGTTACGTTTCTTAGAAATACTAACGGATTCCAATGGACTTAAATCATTATGTTATTTTTGATGACCAACCAAATTATCTCCTTTAATACTACGAGATAATTTGATTAGTTCTCAAATTAGATATTCCTTTTTCTAAAAAAGCAGTTTAAGAGTAAAATTATACATTTTTATATCATTAAGAAAATCTTAAGTAATTAATTATAATATTGTAGCAAAACTTTGGGATATTAATTAACATGTTTGCATAGTTATTTTAATAATGCCATTCAAAATCTCATCAACTTTTACTATATTAAAAAAAAACTAACTAATTCTCATGTGATGACTAAGTAAAAATATAGAGTATTGAGATTATTATTATTATTTCCAAATGTACACACAGACGTAAATGCGTGCATAAATAGTTGTCAATATAGATAAAGACTTATTTGGTTATTTGTAAATTACATTACATAAAACTGTGACATTAGAAGGTTAATAATTAATAGGTTAACATTCGGCAGATCATATTTCGACTCCGTTCGGCAGCAAGCAGATGAGAAAAGAAGCGCATTATAGTTCTTTTCGTAATTATAATAATTAACTGCAAAATAAAATTAATTAATGTATAGTATAGTAAAATTAGATTATATCAGCTTTATTTTTTGTATTGAAATTGTATAAAATTGTTGAATTATTATAATACAACTTCTTGTTGATTATTCGCAGTTTGTTCGCATTATATGTAGTATAGTTATATTTCGCATAATAGTTCATTCGTCTTATATCTAGGTATTCCATTAAGAACCATATTTATTTCTTATGACAGTTGCTGACTCAGCCTTATTATAAATCACCACACTGCCGCAAATAAGACTCAACACAAATAAACAAACGTATATATTACCGTGCTTACACGCAAACAACCTTCTATTACTATATAACGGTATATTGTTTATCAAGAAATTATAAAAAAATATCATAAGTACATATATAGATACATATACTCCCACATTGACATATACAAGGAAGTAAAATGAAGGTTATAGTATAATACTAGTAACTAGTAACTTTATCCTCGTGGAAAAATGTTTCTTTTCTAAATATTTTTTAATGAACTTCGACTAAGTTACTCCTTACAATCTGCGAGTAAAAGTCCGTCAAAATCCACATGTTTCAGAGATTAGTAAGAACAAACAGACAAGCGGTCAATTTTTGTTTTTTAATTGGTACTATGATGTAAATACGATATATATCCATTAGCATTCAATGAATCAATTTAATTTCTTCTTGTTCCCTTAATTTTGTAGCTTATATATTGAAGTATAAGACAACAGTTTTATTTTGTATAAATTAATATTTTTAGTTCTCATGTATTCTCATGTTAAGTGAATTATTCGTAGTTATAACTGAGAATAAAAATCTAAAACCTAAAGTATAAGACATAACAACTTAGGCCTAGGTAATACCAACAACAATGTTGGTAGACGTGCGTAATACACCCAGTAACAATATTGCAATTGTCTATACACTAGAGACTGGAACGAACGAGAATTCAGGTACAATTACATCTGTACACGGTTCAGAAAATATAGCTGGACTTCCAAGTCATTGAACAGAAATTAAAGACATTCGAAGAAAATGTACTGTAATAAAATTTACCACTTGGTAGATTACTCAAATCGTTTCTAGTCTGATTTCCCGTATATTTTATTCTGCTTAGTCTTAACTTCTAAGCTGGAAAGATAAAGTAAGAAATGAAGAAGTATTGCACAGGGTGAAAGAAAAAAGGCAGATATTGAATGCTATAGAAAGTAGAAGAGGAAAAATGTTGGGGCACTTGATACGGCGCGATGTATTTTTGAAACTAACTATTGAGGGAAAGATACAAGGAAAGAGGGGGAGAGGAAGACCAAGGCACAGTTACATCAAACAAATTAAAGACAGAATTGGAGTCGTGTCGTATCAAGGCTTAAAGAGTATGATAGAAGATCGTAGAAAGTGGCAAGAGCTCAGCCGACAAGTGCGTTGCTCTTAAGTTTATGAATGAATGAAGTTTTAACTTCAACCATAGACTCTTCATCTTATATCCTCTCGCTTACACTTAGATTGTGGGATGAACTACTGGCTGAGGTTTTCTCACTAGAGTACAGCATGAGGTTTTTCAACAAGGATAAATTATGTTTCTTAAGGATCGACAACGGGTACAGATATTTAACATACAGACTCACTTTCGCATTTAATTAAATACATTAACTAGCTACTCGCCCTGGCTTGCACGGGTGTACTTGTATTATATTATATGTATAAACCTTCCTCTTGAATCACTCTATCCATTAAAAAATCTGTTGCGTAGTTTTAAAGATTTAAGCATACATAGGGACGAACAGACAGCGACAGCGACTTTGTTTTATACTATGTAGTGATATTGATTATATTATTATATCCAGTTACATGCCCACTGGTACCTTTTACCATCTCACCACTCGCCAATGACAATTCATACCCACACGCTGGAACCTATGTGGTCTCGGACAGTGCGGATTCAGATGAGCTTCCTCCTGCGTACACTTAGATTGTAGTCTAAAAAATAAACGTGTTCAAGAGCTGAGTCGTGGTTTTTGAGTTATTTCATTTATATGTTATTGATATGTACCTTCGAACGTTTTTGTAGGTTAACCGATTATGATTATTTATTTTATATTTTTCATGTACCTCAGAACTTTTTTTAGAACATCCGATTTCGATGATTTAATTTTATTTGAAATATAGTGCTTCTAGATTAAGATATAAATTTGATCCAGTGTTCGTATGTAGTTTGTACTCGTTTTTTCTTTTATGGCTTATACACTAATAATTATTTCATCTTTGTTTACAGATCAAACTGCAGCGATGATATTCATCGGATAACGAAGAGTAATTCAAGAATATTATACCTAGTGTTGATCATACCCTTCATCATGACAAAAGAAAATATGTCAACACCTCCGATTCGAGATGTGGCGGACGCTTATAGTTCCAAGTATGTATAAAAATTATATATAATAAATAACCCTGAACAATTAACACAGCGCCATCTAATCCCACGGTAAGGAGAGCTTGTAATACTTTTTTTTTTGCAAACTCATACATAACATACATAGAAAATATCCAGACCGATACAAACAATAATTTTCATTATGTTTGCACCGTGCGAGGTTTATCGAACCCGCGACTATCGAAAGTAAAGCGGTGTGCTAAACCACTAGACCACTGAAGCAGTCGATATGCTATAGAAAATATATTAATAATAATATAACTGAGCTGATCGTATAATGTTTTTTTTATCCGACTCACTGTTCATAGACCGCCATCTTGTGCCCCACTATCGAAAAATCTAATGTAATAACAATTATAAGATACTATTCCATGTTATTGAAAAAATTAATTTATAATGAACTCACTTAAATCTTTGAGTTATATTTCAACAAAACCAATTATATATGTGTGTATGAATGTCATAAATAACTTAAGAACAATGGATATTATTCAGACTAGGAAAATAAAATCAATAATAGTGCAGACCGCATTACCATCTTTTCTTATTATTTTCGCTACTTTTGTTTATTTTGAACATTATCCTTGTGGTTACGAAGTAAACACAGAATGTATCATTCATTCCTTTTCGTTACTAACACCTTTATAAGACTAGGTGACCCGCGCGACTTCGTCTGCATCATCATTATATGTCGCCCAATATACATAATATCTTTTTAAAAATTTATATTCTATATGTTATTCGGGTGTAGAAACTTTCATCCATATTATTATCTACTAATTTTTAACCCCCTTAAGGGTAAATTATTTAAAAACTTTGAATGTTATATTTATTCGTATTTGATCAACAGCTTCAAAAATAAGTTTCAAGCTTTTAACTTAAAAAATGACGATACTTCCATACCATCTTTCATCCATACTTTCAAAACTCTTACAACCCTTTTTCGCATTCAAAAGTAGCCTATGTCCTTTCTCAGGGTGTAGACTATCTGTGTACCAAATTTCATTTAAATCGGTTCAGTAGTTTTGACGTGAAAGCGAGACAGACAGACAGATAGACAAAGTTACTTTCGCATTTATAATATTAATAAGAATTACGAGAAAACATAAAATAAATCTGTGCAAGGGAAAGATAATTCAATATAAAAACGTATGCCATATCATCTGATTAGCATAGTAACAAAAACCTAATTCGTTTGTCTAATTGGATGGCAAACAAGCTGATTCTATGTCTACGAAGAATAGAACCCACACCCATCGGAAGTATATGCTACACCGCTAAACCACAAAGGCTACTAATGATAGGACATTCTATTAATTGAATAGAAAACACTTTATCATACCAAAACAATTTCTTGTACAAACATGTGAAGGTTATGTGACTTAATTATAATATGCAAATGTATGTACAGCATTACTCAATTTGTTATATTTACCGAGATATCTAATTAAATAACTTCAATCTATTCTGACATTATTAATAAGAATGTATGTCTCTCTGACGTATTTATCTTAATTGATGACAATAATAAAAACTCTGGACAATTAACACAGCGCCATCTATCATATATAAATGATAAAGTTGTCTAGAACTCACAACGCAAGCTGTGCTTACAGTGAGACTAGATGGCGCTGTGTTAATGTCCAGAGTTATTATTATTATCATCAATTTAGATAAATACGTCAGATAGACATACATTCTAATTATGTTAGTATGGATAGAAGTTATTTAATTAGATATATATACGTATATATATATTGTAAATACATCCATACATAATATACATAGAAAATAAAAAGCAGACGAAACCGCGGGTAGTAGTTAGTAAGATATAAAACTGTTGCCTACCTTATCTTATGCATTCTTGACATAGGCTCTTAAAAATATCTATATATATATCCTGCATATAGTATATGCGGGGCCCTCAAACTGAAGCTGTATCCATCAGGGAGAAGTTCAGGCCTTCAGCCGCTCCATAAGCCATACCGCCGGTCTGGAGTGCCGTCTGCACTCGCCCTCTTTCGTTCAATAAAGCTGCGAAGGCCAACTGCTGCATTAGAATAGTTAAAAAAAACTGCTATTTATCTGTGAAAAGGTAACAAACACGCGGACAGTTTGAAATTCATAATATTACTATGAATATTTAATACGAGTAGTAGTAGCAGAGGTAAATAGTGCTTTGTTTGTATAAGAATTACTATATGTTTTTCTACGCATAACAAAACTTCCAATTGACATTTGTGTAAGTAACGCCTAATAATATGACTTCAATTTACTTGTAAATGCAAACAAATGACGTCACTGAATTTAGATAAACACTATGTTTTAAGGATGCATGTCACCGAGTCCTCTCGATAAAAAAGGTGCTATAAAAATCTTCTACAATAGGTAAACTCAATGAAATTTTCTCCATAAAATAGGACAACTAATATCAACACTGCACACTAGTTAGATTTTCTTTAAACTGATTTATTTTATTACTTATATTATATAGAAGTGCACGTAACAGAAAAACTTTATTTTTACGAAATAAATAGACATATTTTTAACTGATTTGAAATAAACAATCAATAGTATAAAATTTGAAATAATGTGCAATACTTTGGAATTATTATTTTCATAATAATGCGAATAAATCCTTTATATTTACTGTAATACTATAATAGACTAAGTCGAGTAGATCGTAATATAAATACAATATATAAGACAAAATTTCGATTGAAAGTATTGCTATCGCGTTTGGTGAAGGGAGAATCTCTCTGAGGGAGATAAAATGAATACTGAATCTACATCGTAATTTAATTGCGTGGACTCAGTCCTCTTAAAATCTGGCACTGCTCTTATGAGAATAAAATCTAAATTGCATCTATACAAAAACCTGTACTAGTTCATACAGAAATAGTATTGAGACCTTTTAGAAATTCGCGCTATTTGATAGTTTGTATTCACACAAATTTTGACATAATATCCTGGATTATAAAGATTATTTATATTGTGTTATGTTATGTTGCGTCGTTAAACTTTCTTTACCTTTTGATTATTTTTTTTTATCTTTTTGATTGTCAATTTTCATTACTCTCAACGCATGAGTGATACAGATACACCAAGGCTACTCGTAGTTAACACGTCATAGTACCAACACGCACGCTAGATATTGTAAAACAAAGTCCCGGCCTGTCTATACGTTCGCGGAAACCTCCAAAACTACAGAAAGATTTTCATGCTGTTTTGTCAATCAATAGATCAATCTTGTTGGCTTTCAATAGATTTACCGTGCAGGTGCCGGGTCCATCGTGTAACAGAGAGGTCAACTCCGAGCAGTTCCTGCAACTTTTCACCCGGGTGTTGTTTTAACCCCCTTTACCAACATACGTTAACACTCACCTTCACTATTCCTGTTTCTCTCCCTGCTCAGCCACACCTGGCAGGAGCCTACTGGTGCTGATTAGTTACACGTTCTAGTATAGAAGTTCTATACTAGAACGTATTTCTGTTCTGCAGTTCTAAACAGGTCAAGATCTATATAATTTGTTAAGGTTTTGTGTAAAATAATTAAAATACCCGTGAAAAGCAAGGACAGGGACAGGTGTCCCTGAATCAAAATTTTTTTAATTTTTTTTTAACAAATATATGGTAAGTGTCGCGAACTCGAATGACATTTGAAAGTAAACAAACATATAATGTTATTCACATATTTTAAAAGCGGTTTTAAGTGAAACAACTTCAGCGAGTGATAATTACCATTGTTTGTATGGAAATGGACACGTCAAATGGTTTTCTTCAATTATATCTTAGGTCAGGATATGAATACAAAAGACTTGACGCCTCTCAGCTGGTAACAAAAATATTAGACGTAGAAACGTATTAAAACGTATTAAACGTGAGTCACGTTGAAACAATTGAAGACAGCATAAATTTCCCGCTTTGTAGAGATATTTGGTTATCATTTATATTTTAAATTTTAACGGCCTCGGTAGTCAAAGGAGTGTAGCACACTGCTTTGCTTCAGATGGTCGCGGGATTGATTCCTCGCACGGTACAAACATTAGTATTCATGAGTATTATTATTTCTATCACTGTGGGTGTTTTCTTTGTATATTACTAGCTACTCGCCCCGCCTTCGCCCGAGTATATATGTATTATACACATAAACCTTCCTCTTGAATCACTCTATCTATTAAAAAAAACCGCTTCAAATCCGTTGCGTAGTTTTAAAGATTTAAGCATATATAGAGACGGACAGACAGCGACAGCGACTTTGTTTTATACTATGTAATGATGAATGTATTTACAAAAAAAGGTATCTAAGTATATATATCAGTTGTCTAGTAACCATAACACGAGTTCAATTTAACTTGGAACTAGATGGCGCTGTGTGAATTGTCCAGGGATATTATATATTTTAAATGTTGTTTTTACTTTCGTTCAAATGTAAATAAAACAATTAATTCACAAAAATACCTTTAATTGTTTTATTTACACTATGTAATGTGGATACTGAACCCAAACACAAAAACAACCGTGTCCCAAATAATGTTTTCATATTACATATTATTTCATTACAGCCTTTTACGTAGAACTCTGTGGTCTAGCGGTTTAGCATACCGCTTTATGTCCGATGGTCGCGGGTTCGATTTCTCGCATGGTACAAAAAAGTTTGAATCGGCCTGGGTGTTTTCTATATATAATATGTATTTACAAAAACAATGTATATATGTATTTATATCAGTTGTCTAGTACCCATAACACAAGCTATGCCTACCTTGGGATTAGATCCTAGAAATAATAGATAAATAGAGTCCTGAAATACTATTTATTTATTATTTTAATACATAAACACTGTGTGTTTTTATGTCAAAAATAAATTAATTAAAGTTAATTCTTAATCAGTATCATGATCATAGAACTGAGTAATTATTTTCAATAATGATTAATTAAATAACTTTATGAAGTTTGTTAATATTAACAACGTAAAGAGAAAACAAAGTTTTACAAAATGATAGTCACTTAAAATTTACTGTACATAATATATTTCATTATGGTAACCTTGATGGTACAGTGATTTAACGTACTGCATCAAATTCGAACGAATTCGATTCGAATCCTACATATTTGCAAATGGCTTGTGTTAGTGTATGCGTTTCTCTAATGTATTATATTGTAAACTAGCTACTCGCCCCGGCTTTGTACGGGTTTACATGTATTATATATATAAACCTTCCTCTTGAATCAGTGTATCTATTAAAAAAAACCGCTTCAAAATCCGTTGCGTAGTTTTAAAGATTTAAGCAGACATAGGGACAGACAGCGAATGCGACTTTGTTTTATACTATGTAATGATGATATTTGTAAATATATAAATATTAGTCCCCTAGTATACATACCTACTACACGTTTTACTTAAGTTTTTTTAATTGGTGTAATGGTGCATCCAGCGCCAACGGTTTACGCTGGCGTGGCAACAGCAGAGGACGATTAGATGAGTATGAGGTCAGATCAGTTAGCCCATCTTGGCAAATTCATCAGGAATTTATCACGATGGTTTCTAGGGGAACCGCGTGAAGGTCAACCTAACATGGCACATAGTTGGCAATGTGTTCATTTGACGGCCTCAGTAGTGTAGCGATTTAGCACACCGCCTTACTACCGACGGTAGCGGCTTCAATCCTCGCACGGTACAAACATGTGTATTTTTGAGTATGATTGTTTGTACCAATCTGGATGTTTTCTATGTATATTGTGTATGTATTTACAAAAAAAAAGTATGTATTTATATCAGTTGTCTAGTACCTACTCCTAACACACAAGCCCTGCTTTGCTTGGGACTAGATTGCGCTCTGTGAATTGTCCTAAAATTCAGTTACAATATAAGTTTTTAATATAAGTTTTTGTATAGTTAATTAAGGTTTGATTCCTCACATGATGCAAACACTTGACCTGATATTCATGAGTATTATTGTTTGATCTATTGTTCTGGATATTTTCTACATATATTATAGATGTATTCACAAAAACCTGTATTTAAGTAGATCTCTCAATTGTCTAATACTATGGATTCTACATAAGCTCTGTTTATTTTGGAACTCATGTTATATACCTATCATGTTATATATATATATATATATGTATATATGAATATATTTCTTTTCTATCAGTTATTTAGTACCCATAACAGAAGATCTGCGTACCTGCGGACTGAACGGCTATGTGAATTGACTTGACATATTATTATTATTGCAATATCTCAATACATTGCCAAGTTCCTGAACTTTTGCATTAAAACCAATCAGTTCAATATGATTGTCTCAGCCGCGATCGCTTACTCGTTTAAAAATATCGAACACTTGACATATATGCATCTTAACGAAATGATGCAATGAAAAATAGATGTTTCATCATAACACGCAACGTTCCTTGAATTGGGGTTAAATTGATGGCTGGCGGGCGTCACAGGACAACTGATATAACCTCTGATCGGCGAATATACGCCATTTATCAACGAAAGTGACGAAACGTGTAATTTATTTCTTGTCACGCGATTGTTAAAACAGCAGTGTAAATAGTGCATAATGCACTCAATGCCATCATTTCCCATTGCGCCCCGACGACTCGTTATACTGAAGAGATTGAGGTATTTTGATTGTATATTATTATCATTAATCGTTTACGAGTACATTTGTAATTTAAATTTACTGCCCGGTGATGTTAAACGTAGATAATATACTATTGTATCAGCCCACTATTTGATTAAATAAGTATAATGGACAATTCACACAACGTCATCTAGTCCCAATGTAGGTAGAGATTGTGTTTTAGGTAGGACAACTGATATAAATATTTAGATATTTTTTTTAGATATATACATAATGTACACAGAAAATACCAAGAAAACATATATATGAATACAAATGTTTGTACCGTGCGAGGAATCGAACCCGCGACCATAGGAAGTAAAGCGGTGTGCTAAACCGTTAGACTACCGAGGCCATCAAAATATGCCAAATGTGATCATGTCAAGTATTACGTTCACCATTGCGTGTATATAACAGTGCAACTTTATGAGGGGAGAGCATTATTAGTAATGGAAACAAATGACGTTACTATGTTTTACTACAAATGCATCATGTCAGGTCGGCCTTTAAGTGTCCACGTGTTTATAATCACTTCCTGGAAACTATTAATTCCTGGTGAATATTTCACGATGGGCTGACTGATTTGACCCCCATACTGACCCTATGCTTCACTAGTACCTCGTATGCATATACAATTTTTTTATGGATGATAATAGAATGGTAGATCCGCCTGCGCTGACGGTTTACTCCGGAAAGCACTAGTGGAGAAATGATACATAGGTTGGGCATGAGGACAGGTCAGTTAGCTCATCGTGGTAAATTCAGCAGGAATTTAAAATAATGACTTCCAGGGGGTACCGCGTGGAGGTCAACCTAACATTGCATATTGTTTGCAATGTGTCATTAGTCCACATTACTAACAATCACCTTGCCCTCTTCATATACTGTCCAACCGGGATCACCGTTCAGCCGTTTGGTCTGTTTGTAATGTTGAAATAACCGTTTTTTACTACATGCATATGAATATAAATACGTTACATACACCAAAAAAAATTTTTTTTAACAATTTTTGTCTGTCTGTTTGTTCCGGCTAATCTCAGAAATGGCTGAACCGATTTTGACGGAATTTTTTTGGCAGGTAGCTTATGTAATAAGGAGTAACTTAGGCTACTTTTATTTAAAAAAATGAATTTAAATTCGACGCGGACGAAGTCGCGGGAACAGCTAGTAATAGAATATATCTCTAATTACCCCATTTTCGACGATAGCCGTAAGGATATATAAATAATTTAAGTACAAATTAAGCCATAGTTGGCTAATTCCGCAATTAATTCAATCGGAACACCTGAGCTTTGTAACGATCACTTGTCTTATTCTAGAATCATTTAGATAATTATAATTAATGAGTCGATCGCCTTGGAATGCTTTGCTTGTTCATACTTCGTGTGTGAGCGCAGTTCCCTTCCAGCCCCTGTTTTCTTAAGGAACATGTTATAATTCGGATTATTTTCATGAGCCCGACTGAATAGGGGACAGGGAATTATTAATAATGGGGACTGATGACCCATTGCTAGCAAAGTACCATGTCAGGTTGACCTCCACGCGGTTCTATTGGAAACCATAGTGATAAATTCCTGGGGAATTTACCACGAAGGGGTAACTGATCTGACCTCATGCTTATCCTACCATCCTCCACTGGACCTCATGCTTATCCTACCATCCTCCACTGGTGCCCCGCTAGCGTAAAGCGTTAGCGTAGGGGGGTGAAAGATACGATTACCATCCATTAAAAAACTCTTTTGAATAAAAGTGTATATGTACGAGAGAATATTTTTATCCGACTGGTCGGGAGATTGTCAGATCTATCAGGTTAAGGTTGTAGGAGTCATTTGATTTAACGTGGTTTAGCACGCCACTTTACATTTGATGATTTCAGGTTCTATTCCACTCATGATACAAACATTTGTATTAATGACTATTTGTATTGGTCGCGTTTACTATGTACATATATACTTTTTGGTGAGATATGGCAGTAAAATTATTGGGTACGAAGCCATGACACCTTAGTACTTTTGGACGGCAAAGTGTGGTAGCACAGGCGTCACATGATGATGTGACGTCAGTGTTGCTTTTCATGTATATTGGCGGCGGTTGCCATTTATCGTGAGTCATCGCTTGTTTACCATTCTATTCTCTACATAATAATGTACCTAATCAAATCAAAACATCTCTATTCATGTAGGCCTATTAGAGGCTCTTGTGATTTGTGAAATGTACCGTCAGTTCGTAGTACTTTCGAGCTAAAAAGTGTTTACAAAAAACAACATTGACTGACAAAAAACTCAGGGTTCTTTTTAAATAAGCTTGTATGTGATTACAAAAATACAGTTCCATTTTTAAATTCAATTAGGCAGTATATAGTGACTAGTGAATAGCATATGCTATTGGATTTTTGCCAAAACGAAATAATTTAATCAGTAGCCGTGACCCTAAGGGTATTGGTACCGCTTCACTCAAGGCACTCGTATCTACTTGTTAAATATAAAATTACTACTAACCTATCGAGATTGCTTGTATTTATAAAAAAATCACTAGTGCCTGTTTTACCTCCATCCCGCTCTCGAACGTGTGCCGCTGCAAGCTCGCTCGCGAAAGAGTTTTACAGAAAACCAATTTTAATTCTCACCGCGGATTCCACTTTTTAATTCGTAAGTGATGCTTACAGAATAGCTCTTTAAGAAGATCAACCTAATTCCACAAGCATCGTAAATAATTAAATTTCTACAAACTATTTTTTTTTTGTTATTATTTACAGAGTGGAGCTAGCGTGTAACGGTTCCAGAGAAGACTTAGAGCCATATGTACCATCAGAGCACAGACCATTGGCATCAAATACATCGTAAGTGTTCGTTTAATATTACACAGCATGAGTCTGAAACGGTATACATGTCAAAAAGCAGAAAAATATATATGAATCTGAACCATAGGCACTTAGAAACAAAGATCAAATCTGAAAATCATAAACTCATCATGCAAAATTGGTAACATGTCCGCAACGTTATGTATGTATATTATTTTATTATAGAAATTTATATATATTTTACCTAATATATATTTTTTTGACATTTCTCATTTATGTTAGTGCACCGCCAATAATCTTTCTCTGCGCCACTCATGGTTGACTGGTACGCCGCAAGGTGTTAAGTTCGCCATATGTTCACATTATTTTTGTGCATTGAAGTTAAATAAATAAGATAAAATAAATAAATATATTGTATGAAATTTTTAAAACTATATTCAATTTTCCTCTTTGCGTCTTGTGGAAGTTTGTGCAATTTTATAAACACTATCACTGACCTGAAGCAGACTGAAGTCTTGGTATACTACCTGTACCTTTGTATGAAATAAGAATCCAGATGTTTGCATACTTTATACATATAACATCTCTAGTTTTTAAGTCTTAAAACAAGTTATAATAATTATAGTACCTAATGTTAGCTATTACCTCACTATGTTTATACAGAAAGGTCTAGTTTCATCTTTTTGAAAATAGATGGCGCTCTATCGTTTTTTTAATTATTTATTCAAATCAAGTCAAACTATCTTTATTCTTGTGGATCTTATATAATAATGTACCGTCAGTTCGATGTGCATTCGAGCTGAGTAGAAACTTAGCTCTTATTCTTTTCAAATGAGAATGAACCTACATGTTTATAAAATACATATTCATTTTTAAATTCAAATTTGGAATATTATCAAATTACTATATCGTTTTTAGGAGTTTTGGTGCCTTGGCGCATTTACTGAAAGCCTCTCTAGGCTCCGGTGTGCTGGCTATGCCCCTTGCCTTCAAGAGTGCTGGACTGGTGGTCGGAAGCATCGGCACCATACTTATCGGGTTTATTTGCGCACACGCTATCAATATACTGGTAAGTCACACTTGTAGAGTAGCGGGTTAAAGTCAAATTCGTTTATTATTGATATAGACTATTTTAAGCAATTACTACACTACACTACTATGGTTGAGGGTTTGATGTAATTTTCGTTGCACATATATTATTATATACCCAATATAATTAAATACTCAGGACAATGTTTATATGTCTGGTTGTTTTTAAAGTATATTATATATTATTTACAAATAAGTGTATTTGAATATGTCTATTAGTTGTTTAATGCCTATAAGACTAGCTAATCTTAACTATGAAATAGATGGTGCTGTTTTAATTGACCAAGGTTATTATTATAGCCTATATGTAATTCTGATGTGTAAACTATATTACTGTAAAGTTTCATCAAAATCCGTTCAGTAGTTTTTACGTGAAAGAGTAACAAACATTCATCCATACACAAACTTTCGCGTTTATAATACTAGTAAGATATACTGAATTGAACTGAATATTTTTTTTATATTTGCACCGACTATCATAACAATTTTTATTATTACCATAAATTCATTATACATATATACATATATATAAACATATATATATAAAGTTTCACAAAAAAGAACCTCCAGTTAGTACAACCACAAACTAACCTTCTGCTCTCTAAAAAGAGAACAATTTCATAAATAATCATATTACGTGTAGTCCATAGTATGTTGAGTTTAGCAAAGTTTCTCAAAAGCCACTAAATTGTATTCACTCATGACAAACCGACCGACATTCCCTTTTGGCCAACGAATAATGAACGTACATTTTAGTTTCCGTCTAACGGCCCATTACCGCATAGCTAACCTGAATTATTCCCAAGCACATTGCTACCATCTTTATCTCCGCCATTGTTTTCATTTATTTCCTAACTATTATAATATTTTAAACGATTACATAACACTACAATTCTGTTGTAGAATTGTGCGTTGTGATCCAAAGGTCTACCCAGACTCATTGGGTCAAAGTTGGCATTTGAACTTGAAATTTTTCTATTTCTTAACTACTTGGTGTTACTTTTTGTCAGTAATATATTATGTTATCTGTGGTAATAATAATATATCAGTATCTCACAGCGTCTTCTAGTCCCAAGCTAAGAAAAGTTTATATGATGAGTCCTAGATAATTAATATAAAATATACATTTTTTTTGTCAATACACACATAATATACTTAGAAAATATCCATACTCACACACATACACAATCTCATAATTATAAATGTTTGTACCTTGCGAGGAATAAAACCGCCACCATAGAAATCAAGGCAGTGTGCTAAACCGCTAGACCACTGAGGTAGTCAAATTCTCATTCTCAGTATTGATCAATCAATATAAAAAAAACAGTATTAGTCAAAATGTAATTATAATTTTTCAGGTGAAGACATCTCAACAGCTGTGTGTGGAAGCCAAGAAGCCTTCTTTAGGTTATGCAGAAACGTGCGAACTCGTTTTCCAAAATGGACCGAAACCAATTCAAAGATTTGCTCCATTTGCAAGGTAAGCAATGTTAAAACATTATCGTCATAACTGAGTTAAATATATGTCCATTTTTACTTGGATAAAAGCAAACAGGTACTGTGAGAATAGAATAGAATAGAATAGTATAGAATAGAAAATTCTTTATTCAAATAAATTTAATTTCAGTTCATCATATTTTGAATAAACATCACAATTTTGTCAATCTACCGCACGTTCGGAAAGCCGTCTCATTACATGAAGAATTAATTAGAAACTTGCGTGTTTCTCTGTTAAATAATCGAACTTTACATTTTTAAGTCGAAATGTGTGAATACAAACTACTAGCACTAATTTATTAGAGTCAAATTTTAAATACACAATCAGTTGTATTGATTAAAGCAGACGAGAAGTTCTTATAAACAACACTAGTTCACGAGTATGACGTAAGAGCCAGCTATCACTACGCTCGACCATATTTTAGCGTGAGACTCCTAAAATCAAAATCAAAATTAAAAATCGTTTATTCATATACATCATTTTAACCACTTATATACGTCAAGTTTGTTGTACTAATATTCGTATCCCTGCCATCCAGTTTAGTACACAGATTCAATTGAGAACTAGCAAGTAACTCAACTGGATTTATTTATTTTTAAAAGCCAAGTTTATCTACATTGTATGGGTGTCTGTGTCTACTCATTAAAGACTGCAAATCCGGATGACACTGTACCTTCGCTTTGTTTATAAGGCTTAAAGCCCCCCCCCCTACCTTTCTTAAGAAAACTCAACTTCTCGAGCTATCCACGGGCCCCGGGCTTTTCGGTCCTATCTCTGCAAGTAGGGTTGGCTTCCGACCGGGTTACCCCGAATTTATCCTAGTTTAGAGGAGAGGAGAGCGTCCTGGGTAATGTAATTATTTTAGGTTTAATATTAAACTATAATAACTTGTGTATTATTTTAAGAACAAAAAATATCGAACTGTAATAACATTCTGTTTTGTAAGGTACATTTAAAAGGATGAAAAAAAATTACTACATTTAATTTTAAGCCGAAAAACAAGAAGATTTTTTATATTTTATGTTTTAAAAAATCTGTAGACATGTCCGGGTTCTGGACTCTAACATCCGGGGTTTTAACGCGTCTTGTCCTGATTTCTAAATTTTAGAGATGGCAACCCTACTTTTCAATTTAAGATATTTAAATTATATAAAATTATATATGATATATATATATTTATATATATATTATATAAAATATAAACTAAAATAAATTACCCATAAGTGCAACCTCGCTTATAAACATGAACAGCATCAGAGAAAAAGATTGTGCCCTCATCTGTTGGTATTTTGTTGCACTAAGATGTCATGAGAGTTAAGGCAATAAAATTATAACGCACAGAGATGCACTGTAATTACTGCCTTAATTCACAAAATCACCCGAGTTAATTTTTTTTTTAATTTGCGGTTTTGGCCTATTATCAGTTGCTAAGACTTGTAGCGACCTACAGAGATCTATTGTGCTCGCCATATTTCAAAGTTCGCTACCTAGACCCGTAGGACAAGAATTGAAGGATATTCCTAGCAGCGATGGTTTTTATCTCCTCAGGATAGAGTGTATACTTTCCAAAAGAGATATTTCGTTTATGCATGAGTGGGCTACAACCACATAGGATGTGTAGTGGCGTTTCCTCGTCAGTTTGGCAAAATCTGCAGATTTTTGTTAAGCTAAATATCACTTACAAAGTAAGGCTGTAGAAATAGGTGAGAAAGAAATGAAACAATCGATGATTATGATGAATAAAGATATTAATAATAACCGTATAGAATGTCAATGCATTCGACAGTTATAAAATTTGTTCTTATTTCAGACATTTCTTGCAAAAGTGTGGTAGTAACGGTAATGTAAATAAAATAGACCCTCAACTAATAATAAAAATGTATATTAAGAAAAGTTGCTGAAATTGATACTAGAAAATATTATATAGAATTATAGCTGTATTTTTTTTTTGTTTGTTTTTTCCCCTTTTTAGGGAAAGGCAAAAGTACTCATCCCATACAGCCATTGTCTTCAGTAATATTTTTTATATATTTTTTTTTTCTAATAATTGTCTTCAGAAGTTACAAATCTTGAAAAGTTGATATAACGTACTCGAAAATGGGTTTGTCTATGTGGCGAGTGTCGGATGACGTGAAAATATTTTATAGGTGAAATATGTAACGTGTCTTGAAAAGAAGTAATGATGTGAAATGATCATCATACAAATATATACATTACACCATAAAAGTATTACTTGTGTATTCTTGCAAAATACCATATAGAAAATTGAATTTTTCCTGTAACTTATTCTCGCGCTCGAATCCCGATAAATATTATTTCCAAGAGATATAATTCGATTTGAAATAACAATGTTCATTCTTCCTCCAGCATATTTCATTTCAAAGAATCGGTGTTGTTCAGTAAACTCTGTTCGCGTGCATCGATGCATCTTATCACACTCGGAATGATAGAATAATCGAGTTATAAAAGCGTATATCACGAGCTGAGCCCGCAAAATTGTATTCATGTATGCTTTTTGGTTGGAAATTCATTTAGTCTTGTATAGCCAATAAAACTATTGGACTGTGATTAATATGTATAACATAAAAACTATTGTAATAATATTAATAATAATAATAATGTAAAAATAAAACATACAACAATGATAATAATAATCTCAGTACAATTCACACAGCGCCCTCTAGACCCAAGTTAAGCTAGCTAAAGCCTGTGTTATGAGTACTAGATAACTGATACACATTGTTTTTTTTTGTAAATACATATATATTATACAAAGAAAACACCCAGACTGATATAAGTAATCGTACTCATAAATACAAATGTTTGTGCCGTGTGAGGAATCGAACCCGCGACCATCGGAAGTAAGGCGTGGTGTTAAACCGCTAGACTACCGAGACTGTCAAATATACTTATACAACTATAAAAAAATATGTACATAACTACAACTCTAATATTGTTCTACCATTTTTTCCAGAGAACTAGCTGACTGGGCGTTAGGCTTGACTCACATGGGCGCGTGCTGCGTATACGTGGTAGTCATAGCTGAATCATTTAAGCAGGTATGTAGTTTAAACATTTAGTTTTAGATACATTCAATAATATACCATGACAATGGTATATTATTGAATGTATCTAAAACTAAATCTATGCTTGTACATTCTCCATATATGAAAGATATTAACAAGTCAATTAGAATAGTCGGCCACTCGTATCAATGTCTTCACAATAGTAAAATACAATGTAATTGTGAACATATCGAGATGGTGAATGAATATAAATATTTAGGGATCACAATAGACTGTAGTTTTAACTGGAAAATACATATAAACAATATATGTAATAAATTAAGATATGTTTTGTGTAAGTTCATCCAGCTTAAATATGTAGTTAGTAGGTCGATATTGTTTTCCTTTTATTGGGCAGTGGCAGACGCGGTATTAAGTTATGGTCTGGCGGCGTGTGGTTGTACCTTTCGTACCTATCTTGATAAATTGTATAACATACAATACTGCAAAGCAGTTTGGCGATAATTGTAAAAACAAATTGTATATATGTAATACTTATATATAAAATAATAAAAAAAAAAACAATAGTAAAAAAATTATATTACCTAAATAGTAATAGTTAACCAATAGATATTCGTACCTGCTCCCGTAACAATCGGAGATTCTACACTCGAAATTGTCGATCACTACGTATACTTAGGGCAAACTATCCAGCTAGGTAGATCCAATTTCGAGAAAGAGGTCAATCGTCGAATCCAACTCGGATGGGCAGCGTTCGGGAAGCTCCGATATATCTTTTCGTCCAAATTTCCGCAGTGTCTCAAGACGAAGGTTTACGACCAATGTGTGTTGCCAGTGATGACTTACGGAACAGAGACGTGGTCGCTAACTATGGGCCCCATCAACAAGCTCAGAGTCACTCAGAGGGCAATGGAGAGGGCTATGCTCGGAGTTTCTCTGCGTGATCGAATCAGAAATGAGGAGATCCGCAGAAGAACCAGAGTGACCGACATAGCCAGAAGAATTGCGACTTTGAAGTGGCAATGGGCAGGGCACATAGCTCGTAGGACAGATGGCCGTTGGGGCAGTAAAGTCCTCGAGTGGCGACCACGGACCGGAAGACGCAGCGTGGGAAGGCCTCCAGCAAGGTGGACCGACGATCTGGTCAAGATCGCGGGAAGGCATTGGATGCGAGCAGCGTAGGACTGATCGTCGTGGAGATCTTTGGGGGAGGCCTATGTCCAGCAGTGGACGTCTTCCGGGCTGCGATGATGAATAGTTAACCAAATAGTATGAAGCATATATATGTATTATAATGGAAGTGACCAACAAGCTGACATACGACAGTTCGTCTGATGATAAATGGCAATCATCGCACTTATACAATAACAACTATTGCATCATCAATATGATGACTGTGTTACACCACATGAAAAGCCACCTCGAAAGACTAAGAGTTACGCCTCTGGTTGCCTTTAATGTTTAAAGGTATAATTTAGGATGGAAACTTTTACTTTGACATACTTTTTAGTTCGAAAAAGAAATAGAAATAATCTTTAATAATAGTCACATTTTTTTATTCTACCACTCAGTCAGAACACATACTCGTCACAAGAAACTTATGTTTTGCTCTTTTATAAATAAGTGTAATTATTTATAAAAGAGCAAAACATAAGAAGTAAGAGGCATGCGATAATCAACATAGAAACCGCTACGTGAGTGCGTAGCGGTTCCTAGTGCAATCAGATAATATTTTCAGCGCTATGAATTTTAAGTTTTCTCTACAAAAAACATTATTATCGCTTATTATTTTCTCTATGCAATCTAAGTGCAATTTTTCTTTACAGATATCAGACGTATATGGTGGTCCCAGTTGGACAGTGACCGTATACTGTGCTATGACGCTCGTCATACTCGTTCCACTGACGCAGATTACCAAGTTGAAGTACTTAGTACCCTTCTCGGCGTTAGCTAACTTCGTGTGGCTGGGATCTATACTTATATCTCTGTATTACTGCTTGCGAGACCCACCGAAAGTATCGGAGAGGAATTTAGCAACGTCCATTACAGGAGTGCCTAACTTCATAAGGTAAGTTTCATGCTGGCATAATATTAATACTAGATTTAAAGACAAACTTGCTATTTCTAAGTATTGTTTAGAAAAGGTAAAAGGGTCTTTTATAGGAATGGGTATAAAAATTTACAATAAAATACCAAAGGATATACTGGAATTACCCTTAAATAAATTCGAAACGTTTGTTAAATCATTCAGTAAATATGATTTAACAAACGTCATTCAGCAAAGCTCAATAAATATGATTACTTGAATGACGTTTGTTAAATCATATTTACTGAGCAAAGCTCAATAAATATGATTACTTGAATGACGAGCGTGCATGGCAATAATTGTTCATGCACGGGATTTTCATTTAAAGTTAGACATAGATAACTATATAAATAAACATTGTAAATAAACTGGATTAAAAAAAGAAGTTCATTTTAGTTCCTTGCCAGTTCTCCTCAATTGGATCCGTATACTAAATTGGACGGTAGGGAAAAAAATGACGTTCATAAGAGGCTTAAATGTGCTAATAATAATAAATTATTTTTGATATTTGAATGTTTGTCTTACTAATATATATATTATAAATACGAATGTTTGTGAATATAAATGGATATATGTTACTATTTCACACAAATACTACTGAACGGTACGATAATTTTGCGCTGCAAGGATAACATTTTAAATGCGAATCCTGAAAGTCATTAGTATATATGTGTTTTTTCAAAGAGGACCCACCTCCTTTATTTGAGATCCAGTAATTTGTTCGGTCACCCGACCGTTTAATGGGTCCCGAAACGCAGTGGACCCTAGAATCTGGTCCCAAAAATGGTTAGTACATAAGAACATAACCTATAATTGCTTCATCTTAGTCGGGTAGCTAAAAAATAACTGTAGCGACATTATAAGGATCCTGTTTTAAAAACCTCAACAACACGGTAGTAAGAACGTATCATTGTATAACTTCAATACGGAGTTCAATTTCCGGTCAAACAAATTGGATATAGATACGTAGAAAGTTAGTAGCATTTTACGTGATATACTCTCGGAAGATAAAATATTCTTCTTCTTCGGTTCCTTCCATCAATCATCCTTCGCTAGATAGCGGTTTAGCACACCGTTGTACTTCTGATGGTCGCTGGTTCGAAGCCTCACGCTATGCAAACATTTGTTTTTTTTTAGTATGATTGTTTGTATTAAGTCAGTATGTTTTCTATGTATAATATATATATTTTTACAAAACAATATTTATGTATTATAATCCCCTAGTACCGAAAATACAAGTTCTAGGCTACCTTAGGACTAGATGATGCTACGTGAATTGTCCTGGGAATTTATGTTATATTATTAATATATTCTCCCAACAGCACAAGTCTCTTCGCCATGGAAGGTATCGGCGTGGTGATGCCGGTAGAGAACGAGATGATCAAGCCCCAACACTTTCTCGGCTGTCCAGGGGTCTTGAACATCTCCATGGTCATTGTGGTACTGATGTATGGATTCGTCGGTTTCTCTGGATATTTGAAGTACGGTGATGAAGCCAGGGGGAGTTTGACTTTAAACTTGCCTCAAGATGAAATGTAAGTATCACTTAAACTTCATCCTTGCCTTGCCTTTATCCCATTATTTGGGCAAGTAATCCCTAAACTTAAGTGAGTAAATGTTTATTGACAAAATATAATATAATATAATACATTGATATATTGATAAAATATCATCAGATTTATACTATTTATGTAACAAATATTTTTTATTCCGGTGAAATGCTCCATAGTGACTGAATTCCGACAGATCGTTAGTACTCCCCCGGATCACGAGCACTAATCCTGTACGCTATGTTCTTTTTATTCAAATATGACCATGGTATATTGGTCCCCATTACTCAAAATCCCTTTTCCCCAAAATGTACAGTTTGTATTGTTTTATGATAGTGTCCTGTGTCCATTGCTTTCAGCTCCATCAACCCTCGCACTATTTAGCAAAACTGACAGCCTCGATGGTCTAGCAGTTTATCATACCGCCTTACTTCCGATTGTCACAGATTCGATTCCTTGCATGATACAAACATTTGTATTCATGAGACTATACTCATGAATACAAATGTTGTTTGTATCGGTTTGAGTGTTTTTTATGTGTATAAACAGTTGTCTATTACCTAAAATAAAACAGTCTCGCAGAACCGATGCTCGCTGGAGTAGACGTGTTCTAGAGTGGAGACCGCGAATTGGCAATCGTAGTGTAGAACGCCCTGCAGCTAGATGGAGCGACGACATACGTAGGGTTGCGGGCAGTAACTGGATGAGAAGGGCTGAAATTGTACCCTGTGGCGTGCCTTGGGAGAGGCCTATATCCAGCAGTGGACTGCAGTGGGCTGATGATGATGATGATGATGATATGAGTTATTATATTTTAGAGTTATTTTTTTTAAAACTACGATTTTGGCAAATAAGCATTCGGCCCATTTCTTCCCTCAACGAACATTGTTTGTATATTCTTGTATCGATTACTAATTCTTATCATTTATTCACAGCCTCGCTCAAACCGCAAAGATTCTAGTGGCTTGTGTAATGGTGCTGTCATTCGCATTGATTTACTATGTCCCTGTGGATGTGATATGGAGACGGATACAAGACAAAATACCCGCCAAAAACCACAGATGGAGCATAGCTGGCTTGAGATTAATAGGCACACTGCTTATTGGTAAAGTTCTTTAATTGTTATTTTTTATACTATACTAGATGTTCCGGCAAACGTCGTTTTGCCATATAATTTAGTAATATCGCTTTTAAAAAATAGGTGTAGCGTGAAAATTTAGGGTTGTATGTATTTTTTAAAGCCACATTAGAAAAAATAAAAAAACAATTGTCCTAAAAAATAAAAAATAAATGTTAGGGGTGCACAACCCTTATCACTCAGGGGTATAGAAAATACATAGTAGCCGAGTCTCAGACCTACTGAATAGGCATATACAACACTTAGAGGTATGAAAAATAGATAGTAGCCAAATCTTAGACCTACTCAATAGGCATATAAAATTTTATAAAAATCGGTCTAGGCGTTTCGGATGAGTGTGGTAACATTGTGACATGAGAATTATATATATATATTATTAATAATATTTACGTCATTTTAAGGAAAGTTTAGATATATCTGTAACTACATATTATTATATAACTAGTATTTACATAACCTAATTGTACAACTAAGAACCTAAAATAAATAGCTTAAAAAAAATATATATAATATGATGACTAAAATATATTATTATATATGCATATTTCAATCTCCGATGTTTTGTCTCGCAAGCTGTGTTTCCGTTCGAAGATAATATTCGACAGTGAAAATACAGTTATTTTTAAACTTTAGTGATTAATGTACAATTTATATTGTACCGGGTCTTGACACGAATAAGCCCTCTTTATTTGTTACTACATAGTCGTGCCCGCGGTTTCAGCGGCATGAAATTTATACCCTGTATGTTATTCTAATGTATAAAGCTATATTACTGTAAAGTTTCATCAAAATTCATTCAGTAGATTTTGCGTGAAAGAGTAACAAACATACATCTATACTCGCAAACTTTCGAGTTTATAATATTAATAAAATTTATTTATCTATCAACCATCGCCTAAAAAAATACCTATGATAGTCAATCTCATGACCTTTAGCTCAATGTTTTATTTGTTGTTGTTGCAGGCAGTTGCTAGTATTAAAATAAATTGAAACCAATTTCATAAAGCAAGGTCATCGAGTGAATCATTAGATGAACATTTAGATAATTTCATTCCATATCCTGAATATTATACAACAACAATTACACTATAATTTATAGTATTCAAATTTGAACTAAACCTACAAACACGTGTCTAAATTGAGGTACAAAAAAGTCGTTACCTCTAACTATACCTCAGGCACCTATTACATGCGCCAAACAATTTGATCCAGTAGCTTATCATACCGCCTTACTTCCGATGGTCGCAGGTTCGATTCCTCGCACGGCACAAACATTTATATTCATGATTTATTTGTATTGGTCTGGGTGTTTTCTATGTATAATATGTGCTCGTATGTATTTACAAAAAAACAATTGTTTATGTATTTGTATCAGATATCTAGTGCCTATAACACAAGCATTAGCCAGCTTAACTGGGGTTCTAAATGGTGCTGTATGAATTGTTGAGATAAAAAAAAAGTTTGTTTGTAATGTGTATTTTAGTAGAAATCTAAATATATATAACTCAAGGGTAACTGACTGACATAGTGATCTATCAACGCACAGCCCAAACCACTGGGCGGATCGGGCTGAAATTTGGCATGCAGGTAGATATTATGAAGTAGGCATCCACTAAAAAAGAATTTTGATAAATTCCACCCCTAAGGGGATAAAATAGGGGATGAAAGTTTGTATAAATCTTCTTAGATTTTCGACTGATTAAACTGAAATTAAAGAAGACGTTCGCTTAAATAGGATTTTGATAAATTCAACCCCTATGGGGATAAAATAAGGGATGATGCAGGATGTAAATGTATTAGTTTGAACCTATCAGTACCTAATAGAACGAATAAAATATTTTTTAGTTCTTTAGGCTACTTTTATTTTAGAAAAATAAAGTTAAACTCCACGCGGACAAAGTCGCGGGAACAGCTAGTGTAAGATATGGCATGAAATTGCTGAAAAAAAGGCAAGAATAGAATACAATAGAAATAATCTTTATTCAAATAAACTTTAATATAAGCACTTTTGAATAGCCTTTTTACCACTCATTCGGAACGCTACTCATCACAAATAGAATAAGCAAGAAACTTGCGTACTGCTCTTTTAAACAAATTTGTTCTGAATAAATACACATTAAAAAGGGTTAGGCATGCGACAATCAACATAGAAACAGCTACGCATTTAATCAGATCATTTAATTGGGGCAAAAAAAGTACTAAAATAATTGACATCGAAAAAGCCGATTACAAGTTTTAATAGTAGGTTGTTAAATAAGATAAACATGGCAAATTGATTTGACATTTTTTGCATATTGATCTTAATATTCGTTGTATTAATACTTTTCTATCTACATTTATATACATTTTAATAAACAGACATATATTTATGTTATTATTTAGTAAAATATCATAAACATTAATCAGTAATATCAATAATTAATAACCATTCGCAACATAACATCTCTCGAAAATGGAATAGAGATATAACAGAATGTAGATAAATATAGAAAACTCAGATTAATTAAGGAAAAGAACTGCTCATTATATTCCGTTAATATAAAAGCCTCCACAAGAAATGGTACAATATTAATTGCTAGACTCTAAGGGGCTTATTACATTATCAAATATTATGATATGACGGTCTCGTTTAACACACGGCCTTACTTTCGTTGATTGCGAGTTCGATGCCCCGCACGGCAGAAACATTTGTATTCATGAGTATGATTGTTTCTATCGGTCAGGGTGTTTTCTATGTATAAATGTATTTACGGAATATATATCTATATATTTATATGAGTTAACTAGTACCCAAAACACAAGCTTTAGCTAGTTTAACTTGGGTCTAAATTATCCAGATTATTATTATAGGACTGTTTGTCGCAATATTATAAAAAATTCGTAAAAAAAAAATACTAGATAGATATATATTGAGTAGTCATGCTTACTAAAATGTGACGGCGTTGTGGGCCGGGTCATTGAGCTCCCTAAAATGTGTTTGAGCGCAGTGATAGCTTACTCATGCGTCATTGCTGAGTGTAAATTGGGCTTGATGCCCAACTTACCCTCAGCCCGAGTGGGCAGGGAAGTGAACACGGAAGTGAGCAGCGCGAGAGTGTAAACACGAGTGGATGTCGACACGTCCCATGCCATTGGCGCTGCCACTCGTGTTGCCCGCGCTCCCTCGATTGTCGTTTTCCGTGCGCGAGTCAAAGGACTGGCAGCGTGTACTGTGTTTATACATTCAACCCTCTAGCTCAGTTATTGGCGGCAATATTTCCGGCAGCGCGAGTGGAGGGGAAGCGGCTGAATGTAAACGTAGCATCAGACTCGTGAACGAATGCTGGTTGTGGGGACTAATCTGCTCTTATCACTACTACTGATTTAATTATTTATATAGTCTGCCATATCTCACTCTGCAATCAAAATACACTTTACAAAGAAAGTTACTTGGCAGAGACATCCACGCTGCGAGACATTTTACAAAAATCTTATCGTATATATTTGATAATGTATTACCTTCTTAATACATCTAACCCATCAGTACGTCTGTGACGTCGAAGTAACACAATTTATAAGTTATATTAATCATATGTAGTATCGACCACCAATGTATGCTTCACCTAATAATGTAATTGTAGGTGTCTACTCGAAATATGATCTCATAGTTTTCCGTGTACCATTTTTTAATCCTGTATTTCTGAGGATAATTAAATAATATATAATTTATACATAGATAGATAAGTCCGCCATGTGCACCTACATTTTACATTATAATAGGTGTGGCCGCAGTCATATTGATGTATAATCTACATACTATATATATAATCTACTACATTACTGCAAAGTTTGACCAAAACATCCATTCATCTATCCACCCATTCTCACAAACTTTCGCGTTTATAAAATTAGCAAATAAGATGTGTGCATTTAAGTTTTAATAAATAAATAATTGGAGATAATTAAATAAAGAAATAATAACTAAAGAGGAGGCCTTTGTTCATCAGTGGACGTCTTCCGGACTGAAATGTTGATGATGGTGATGACTAAAAAATTTATATTTTTTAGTATTACCACAGATAAAAATATGTCTTACCTGTGAGAATATTAAAAAATATATAGGTACGAATAAGTCATCATACATATATTTTGTAAATTACCCGTTGTTATATAAGAATAGATAAGATAAGCATTTATTGTCTATAACTGTGTTACATCATATATGGAAACGACCAGTGTATCCATTTCGGATGTACAATATGAAATTAGAATTTACAATTACATCAAATAACCAAATTACAAAAACAAAAAAAAATATAAAATAACTATCTACAACACAACTTAGATCAAACAATTTGTCACTCCCCTCCACCAAGGTAATATTCATCTAAGTTGTAAAAGCACTTACACAATAACCATTGTTTTAAGGTTCTTTTAAATTGTCCAGCATCCAGTGATTTGATGCAATCAGGCATAGCTATTAAAAGATGCTTAATAATATTTCTATTCTATTCTATATTAAATTCATTATTTGCAGTCGGTATCGCCTGCGCTGTACCAAGACTGGAGCTGTTCATGGAATTGGTGGGAGCTGTCTGCCTCTCTACCATGGGTCTGCTGCTCCCAGCTGTGACTGAAACCGTCTGGCGGTGGGGGAAGAACCTGGGACCCTGTTACTGGATCATATGGAAGAACGCCATCATCAGCCTCTTCTCGCTGATAGCCATGGTTTCCGGCGTGGCCTATTCAATAATCGCCATATTGGAGATATAATTTATTTATACGAGCTGAGATTCTTTCTGTAAATAATGTTCTGTTAGTATTAATTGTAAAAATGTAAAAAAGATATTATTTATTGTGAATGTAGATTTTTTACATGTTAACAAGTATTTCTTAATAGTTTAATTTAATTTTATAATTGCTAGAATTAAGTATACTAACTAAAAATGACCTGTGAATTTATAAGCGTTTTTTATTTGCCTTTCTTTGAAGTCAGTTTATGAATACTACAGAAAAAGAATCGTTTGATAATGAAACAGCCATCAAACAGACCCGAGAAAAAGTGTACCTGAAAAAAATACACTAATACAATATATTTTTATGCCTTTAGATTATGATCAGCACTTTATGACTAAAACAAAAAGGCTCTATAACCCATCAATTTCATTTCGTTCTAAGGTAACACGCATAAATAAAAACACAGCAGAAACTTCCACGTTACTTTGAAGTCGTTTGAAAAATCACGGTAAGAAAGTCAATAAAGTCATTAGAAGTGCCCAAAAATTCCAAACCAATTATGAGCTTTCCCGTAGTAATTATGAACTAGCCGAGAACATCGCAAATTCAATTTGCCTCCCTAATTTCAGACATCCTAAGCGGGAAGGTAATGAAAAAACGGACAATAAAAATTCTAGGCTACGGAATTATAAATTATCAAATTCAGAGCTAATTTAGTACGTAAACTGTCCTCTAATTAGTCGTTTGAAAGATGATTGATGAATCTTTGAAATCTAATATACCTATCAGGTATTGGCTTTACCAAGAAATCGACAGTTAAGCATACCTATGGCTGTGACTGTATGTTATTACTTGGATATATATACTCTTAAAATATAAAATATGGACTATTTATTTAAATGTATATAATATGCTAACAGTTTGGTGAACGTATTACTTACTATACTAAAGTAAATTACTGCCTTTAGACGATATTGTTTCACGCGCAGTCAGGAGCACTGCAATTTAGCGCGGAAAAGCCAAGTGCGTGTTAAAAGTCATTTCACTTTCTATTAAAAAAATATTTTTATACCACAGCTTTTATTTTGCCAAGGACACGTTTTGGATTTATAAATTATCAATAACTCTATAATTAATCTTTTCTCCATAGTCAGATGTCCTCCATTTTGCAATATTAATTAATTATGATGAAAAGACGCTAAAGCACGCATGATTGAAGTCGTTGTTCTTTGTCTACAACATATTCTTTCCTGCTGAGCCGATTCCCACATGAAAGATATATAAAGATAAGAGTGTACATGTAAAGTAGCTGCCTTTAAGAAAGAGAACGAGGCTGACCGCGCGAACTTCCAGCTCCCACATTTCCGTGACCTTCAATCGTGCTTGCTTTAGCGCCTTTTTGTAATAATTAATTATCATTGCATTGGCTGACATCTATTTATTTATTTATTTATTTATTAGAAAAATAATAAATAAATAAATAAATAAATCTATGGACTATGGAACGAAGACATACTTATAGTATAGACTTATTGATAATTTATAAATCTTAAACGTGGAATCGTTACATAGTATAAAACAAAGTCGCTGTCGCTGTCGTCCCTATGAATGCTTAAATCTTTAAAACTACGCAACGGATTTTGAAGCGTTTTTTTTTAATAGATAGAGTGATTCAAGAGGAAGGTTTATATGTATAATACATGTACATCCGTGAAGCAAGTGAAGCCGGGGCAAGTAGCTAGTAAAAAATAATATAAGTGTTATAATATAAGTGAAATGTTATATTATAACAATAAAATATACGGCATCTTTCACGTTTTTTGGAATTAACTTCTGCTCGATTTCCCCGTGTTTTATTTTTTTTAAATAACCGAACGAACACCTACACTTAACGATTTGGTAATTTTTTTTTTTGTTTTAGAAACAAAACCAAATCTCTTCTTTTTACAGTGTTAATAGTAGTTTATTGGACTACTTTACTCGAGGTAGAACAAAATAGGATACATTTTTTTTAATTGGAGATGCGTTTAATTGCACTTAAGCTTGGCCGTTGTACAGATTCATCTTGTTGTAATTACTGTACAAGGATAGAAAACTATAGATACCTCCGGCTCGTTGTACCGTCTTAGTAATTATATAATTATCGCAACACGACACTATGATTACGTACATTCAGCCTCCAGCGTCCATCGTTTCTCAATCTGTTATTATCTGTGTGTATGTTCACAGTATGTTCTACGAAACTGAATTATGATTGTTCTTTTTCCAATTGACTGTTTACTATCATTTTGTAACTGTAAAGTTTTATTCCTTTGGAAAATAGCGTGTCTGCGTGAATTGTTTTGCCATCGAATGATACTTTATCTCATGTCATCGTACATAAACATGTAATTTTTTTATAGAAGGTTTTTTTTTGTTGTTGTAGTAAATATACTAGATGTCTCACAATTTATCCGCATGACCTTACTTCCGACGTTCATGGATTCGATTCCTCGCACGGTACAATTTGTAATTATGAGTATCATTGTTTGTATAGATCTGGGGGTTTTCTACATATATTATATATAAATTTACAAAACAATATGTAAGTATTTATATCGGTGTCGTGTTTAGTACCCATAACACAAGCTCTGCTTAGCTTGGGACTAGATGCCGCTGTGTGAATCGTCCTGGGTTATTATCATATTTATAATGTTGCCAGTCTGTTCTGAAAGTTCATTTCGTGTCAGGTGGAAAATACCACTTACTTACCGAGAATTCATTCCATAGTATGGAAAACCGCACTTGTGGTTAAAACCATTCATCGCGGTCTGGTCGCTATGATTTTTAATTCGTGTCGGTTTAATTCAAATACAGATATATAAAATTTTGAGTAGCGACCGCTTTGAGACACACTGTAATATGTAAGTACATACACTGAAATGTAATTAATTAAAATCACTTCAAGAACAGGAAGCTCTGTCACGTCTTCTGGTTTATTTTCGACGATCATCATGACTGGGCATAGGCGCATGAATGAATTAACAAAAATTGAAATTTCATTCAATCATTTCAGAAACTGGATGTCAACTTTGTAATTAAGAATCATTTTTACTTATTTCATTTCATTTTTACTTAGTTCTTGCATGCCACTTCATCAGTTACTTTTTTGACTATTCTAATGAAATTTCTATGTCTATAATTACTATTTATACCAACATAAATAATTTTTCGGCTCCGGTAGTCCAGCGATTTAACACACAGACCTATCCTATAATTTACATAATATCATCTATGCCAGGAAGAATATAGACAGTTTCAAAAGAGTTAGTGATTGCACCAATAAAAGCATTAGTAACAATAACAAACTGATTTTACCTAAACGTCGTTTGCCTAAAGTTAGTAATTCGTTTTATGGTAATTGCGTAAGGTTTTACAATAAAATACCAGAGTCTGTTATAAATCTGCCAGAAAAAAGATTTAAATGTCAAATAAAACAGTTCCTTTGCAAAAAAGCTTACTATAAAATTGAAGAATTCGTTAACGATAATAATGTTTCTATAGAAAAACTTTAAATCCATAGCACTGACAATATTATCTGATTACACTAATAATAAGTGCGTAGCGATTTCTATGTTAATTATCTCATGCCTCTTACTTGTTATACTGTAATTATTTATATAAAAAAACATCTATTAAAAAGAGCAACAAGTTTCTTGCTCGTTCTTCTTGTGATGAATCTGCATTCCGAATGAGTGGTAGAATCAAAATATGACTATTCAAAAGTGCTTGTAATGAGTTTATTTGAATAAAGATTATTTCTATTTCTATAATCCTTTTTTTATCATCATCATCTGAGCTCAGAAGACGTCCACTGCTGGACAAAGGCCCCAAAGATCTTCATAACAACCGGTCCTGCGCTTCTTGCATACTTCGCCTTCCAGCGATCTTGACCAGATCGTCAGTCTATTCACCTTGCTGGAGGCCTTCCCACGCTATTTCTTCCAGTCCGTGGTGTTGGCCCCGTCCGGTTTTTTTATCGGACTACTCTAATCCTGTGGGGCGCAGTTGGCCTTTACAACTTTACCGTACGATAGCAGGCGAGTGCAGATGACACTCCGAACCCGCGGAAGGAAATATGGAGCGGCTCAAGGCCAGCTCCTGCCTGATGGATAACACTTTAGTTTCAGAGTAGCGCATAGCTATATATATACATATTTTAATAGCCTATGTCGATCCTTCGATACATTCCCAAAAAATGCAGACGTCAAACAAGGTCGCAGATGAGACTTAAAAGACAAATTCGAACTTACGAAGCGGCTGAAGGCCAACTCCTACTTGACGTATACGACTTTATTTTATTTAGTCTGAGGACACCGCTAAGGGTTCAACATCGGCTCAGGTTATCGTAATTTCGATCCCCGTTTGAATTGGACCTTCATCAACGTGACCTCGACATATTTACAGACATGTACTGGAACCTTTTGTCCCGGAAACTATCGGGGTTAATTCCTTATGATTTCAGCATGATTGACTACCTGATCTGATTATACCTGATATTCTCATCTCATTATCCTACACTGATACCATTAGGCAGTTTAGTCGTTAAAAGTAACAAACAGACAGCCACATGTGTTCGAATTTATAATAAGTATGAATTTAGTATGACATATATATATAGTGATAGAGTAGGTAACTTTTGCGTTGAAGTTGCGCAATAAATTTCTAAACGTTCGTTCAACGTTCAGAAATTAAATGCGCAACAAATATTTCAAAATACATTTGACATATTAATTAATTTTATAATACTGTTCTCATCTCTGGGCGGGAGCACCACAATACCAGCTACTTCCATTTGACCGCATTCAGAACCGAGCAGCCAGAATCATTGGTAATCAACGTCTATGTGACAGACTCGACCCATTGGCTTTGCGGCGAGATATTGCATCTCTGTGCATTTTCTACCGCATATATCACGGGGAGTGTTCTGAGGAATTGTTCGGATTAATACCAGCTGCTGAGTTTCACCACCGTACCACCCGCCAGAAACTGAAATACCATCCTGATCATCTGGATGAATGGCGGTCTTCCACAGTACGGTTTTCTAGAAACTTTTTGCCTCGCACAACCACATTGTGGAATCACCTTCCAGCAATGGTATTTCCGAACCGATACGATATTGAAACCTTCAAGAAAAGAGCTTATTCCTTTTTAAAAGGCCGACAACGTACTTGCAATCCCCTGGTGTTGCGGGTGCTCATGGGCGGCGGTAATCACTTACCATCAATTGAGCCGCATTCTCGTTTGTCCCCTGTGTTATAAAAAAAAAGTAATAATAATAATAATTCTGGGGCGGAATGGAGTTCGCGTAGTCTGCTAGTAAAATATATAATAATAATAATCTCAGGACAATTCACACAGAGCGATCTAGTCCCAAGTTAAGCTACATAAAGCTTGCGTTACGGGTACTAGATAACTGATACAAATACATAGATATATTTTTTTCGTAAATACATACATATTATACATAGAAAACACCCAGACCGATACAAACAGTCATACTCATGAATACAAATGTTTGTGCCGTGCGAGGAATCGAACCCGCAACCATCGGACGTAAAGCGGTGTGCTAGACCGCTAGACTACCGAGGTCGTCGGTAAAATATAATTATAAAATAACTAAACCTTAGTTTATATTAAAAACTCACGCAAAACTATAAACACAATACTACCACGTCTTAGATTCACAATTAAGGCAACCTACGGATGCAAAAATACCCCACTTACTTTTGTTTTTATGCAGACAACGTTTAAACTATATTAAACTTTATTGCGTTAGCTTGAGATTTTATATAGAGTATCTTATGCAATAAATCTTCTGTATCTAATATTCCTTTATACTCTGTGCTTTAGTGAGCATAAGATAGCAAGCATTTTCTTGGAAATTTATGAACCCACTTCTTCCCAAAGAAGCAGCTAGCAACAGTATAAATCTTGTCTTTGCAACAAGTTCAAAGCAAAATTTCAAGAAACAACAATGTGAAATTCAAGTCTAAATTAAAAAAGTTTTCAAAGGGCATCCATAATATTCTATGAAATAGATATTTTGGGACAGATTACATATAATTTCCTATAATTAGAGCTATTATAATGTTTATTAAACCGGAAATACTGTGTATAATAATAATAATAATAGATCTTTATTCCGTACGGTGAACAAATAAAAAACAGTATGCTAGAAAACGTATTAGCGCGCATAATATGAACATTTAAATTCATGAGTACCTTTGTATTCATCTGGTGTCGCGTGTATATTTCAGGCTTATTTATTCAATTAAATATATTTTTCTTCCTTTAGATGCCTAATTCCTTAAAATAACAAAGGAAAATTAAATAATATTCGCGATAAATAACATGTTTATTATTACAAATACACATAAACCACATAAAACTGTAAAATATCAAATTTAAACTCATTACGAACAATTTACAGTTTGTAAATACACGTTGGATATAGTTAGAGTTACAAAAAGGGTTCAACTTTTAACTTGTTTCGCAGTTTAATTTAGAGTTCACAATTAACAAGGTAACTCATCCGGGGTCGACCATCCAAATCTATAAACCTGTGTGTTCCCTAATGAAGTTTCTGATATCGGGTTGCGCGATGTTTGCGAACACACTTGGCGATAATGGTTGTGCGCAGCCGCGGCCAAAGGACACTATTCCAACACAGTATCCATCTTGAACTGCTGCACCACCGGAGTCACCCTGTAATGTGATTTTAAAATTGAAGTAATCTTTATTCAAATAACCTTTGACTAATATCTTTGACTCTTTCTCTTTCAATTATTCCTATTGTCAACTCATTACAAGAAGAAGGAGTAATCTTGCATGTTATTCTTTTTAATAAATGTTGTTTTAAGTAAATACACATTGGCAAGGAATAAGGATGCGACAATCAACTTAAAAACCGCAACGCACTCATTCTTTGTGCAATCATATAATATTGTCAGAACTTTAAATTTTAATCTACTTTTTTTTGTATTTTTTACGTTACAAAAACATAATTATTAGATTATGTACTATATATACTTATGAAATATATATACTTTTATTTTCAGAAAGTGTTTTATACGACATGTGAATCCTTTTACTAGCAGATTTAGGACTGACTCTAGCAGTTTGTTGTAATACCTTTCTTTTCGCAATTTATATTAGACTAGTGTCTTCTGGTTACTGATTACAGTATTTCTTTTTAACGAATCTCTATTTGAATTATTTTTTTGGCTCAAATACAAATTCAATGGAATGGCTAACAACTGTCTTTAAAAGTTTCTGGCTTTCGTGGCTATCAACTGTTTCGTTGAAAGATTATTTTATATATAAAATGGGTAATATTGTATAAATTGTTACTGTTAAACAATAAATTTAAAATTTTAGGGCATGCAAAATTTATTATAAATTAAAAATAATTTCCATACTATGTTTAGACTTAATTACTACTGGAAGAGTAATGACTACTAATGAATAATAACTCCGTCATTGGAAGAGTCAATCACAAATATAAATTGACAAACAGTTTTTTTTTTGTTCATCAGATTTGAACGCGACCTTGACAACTACCGTATGAGCGTAAGTTAACATTCGATTCACTAGAATTTATAGGACTCAGACTTCGAATATCAATTGTACTTGAGAGAACTAGTAAAAATCTCTAATGTTATTTTTTTTTAAATGAGGCTGAAAATAAATATAATTATTATTTTAATAATCATTTAGGGAGTACATTTGTTATTATGCATTTTGTCGTTCTTGTCACCAACTTACATTAGATGTCGGATCGTTTGCTATTCGGAGACATATAACAAAACGTTTTTGTATAGTCTAATCAAAACTATAAAACAAAATTCTATAGGTATATGTCACTTCACTGTCTCTACCATTACTATTAAAATATTATAAATTATTTTACTACATATTTCTACAACAAAAACGAGTAACTATACCTGGCAAAGGGGACGGGGAATGTAGTTATTTAGAATGTAATTAGTAATGTTCCATATCAGGTTGACCTCCACGTGGCTCCCCCCAGTAACCATCGTCATAAGTTCATGCATTTACCACGATGTGCTAACTGACCTGAACTCATATTCATCTTATCGTCCTCCACTGGTACCCAGCCAGCGTAAACCGTTAGCGCAGCCGGGTGCACCGTTCCATTATCAACTGGATGAAAAAAAAACTATACCTGACAGGTTCCCTTCCCACCCAAGAAGAAATTACCAGCACAGAACATGTTCTTCGTCAAGTAAGCGTAGTATGACAAAAAGCACTGGTAATAGTTGACTACTGGTATGGTCACTTCCATCAGTCTCTCGGGTATTGTTGGTGCTCCTTGCTGGAACAGAACAAATTTTGAATTATAATTAGTTAGTTATGTTACTTCCGATGGTCGCAAGTTCGATTCCTCGCACGATACAAAATATTTGAATAAATTTATTATAAAGATTTATTCAAATATTGTAAAATACTAGCCGTGCGTAGCTTTCAAGCAGAATACTAATAATGAACACAAAATTGTATTAATAAATATCTATAATACAAGAAATAATATACAGAATATATTTGTGCAACCGAGAGCTATCAATTATTACGGGGAAGAAACAACAGAGTATTTGGTTCCAAAAATATACAATAACAACAATACACCAAATATAACAACTAAAAGTTCCCATTCGTACAAACTAGTAAAGAACACAAAATATAAAAAATACCGTTAAGCCAACATGTTAAAAAATAAATACTAAGTAAATTAATGTTCAGTATACGTATGTATAAATGTGTATTCATGTGTATAGATGTGGGTAGGTAAGTATTAGTATTAATAAATTTGAGCTATATCTTGTCAACAACCTGTTCTGCAGGTTAGCGAGTAGTAACTTAATTTCATAAAATTCTCTTGTCACGGTGTTTGTTATAAAACTCCTCCGAATAGAAACGGTTTTACCGATTTTAATGAATGTTTACCATTGTAGGTCTGAGAATCGGCCAATATAATTTTTTCAAACCCCACAATAATAAGGGTGACCTACCCCTAAATATTATTTTAATTATTTTTACAACTTTTCTTTACATTTTTTTGTAAATTAATAAAATTAGATACTACTTCAATTTTTCACCCTTTCACGATCAACCCTAATTTTTAATAGCGATTTTATTTATACGGCATAACAACATTTGCCGGATCAACTAGTAACAAAAGCAGATGACTTTTAACAGTCCATTCGGTAAATCTACCACAATCTATAAACCATACCTGAGTACGTCCCCAGCCGCTAACATCAATGTCCGTACTACCGACCATGGGCCGTCCTAACGGTGGCAACTTCACTGGTTGCACACGATCATTGAACTCCAATGGCGAAGCAGTCTTCAGCACAGCGACATCCTTATCAAACGTGGGTTGGCCGTATTCCGGATGAGTCCACACTTCTGATATAGGGACTATCGTACCATTCCTTCGCCATGAGCTACCGATTCGCATTGTCACGTTTTCTGGGGCGATTCTGAAATTGTTTCATAAGCGTTTTTATAATCTAGAGCAGGAGATTGTCGACTATATATGGACCAGGAGCAACCTAACATTGAGGATGATGCTAGAGTCGAGTCACAAGGGTTTGTGACCTGAGACTTCACCAACAAGCGGCCCGCCTTTGAAAAAATGTTTGCCATGAACAACCACATTATGGAATCACCTTCCAGCAACGATATTTCCGAAGCTATACTTTCAAAAAAGAGCTTATTCCTTCTTAAAAAAGCAGCAACACACTAGCAATTACCCAGCTCGTGCTCTTAGGCGGCGGTAATTACTTACTATCAGGTGAATCGCAAGCTCATTTGTCCCCTTTGTGTTACACTTTTAACTTTCTTATAAGCCCTCTTGGGAAATATATCCACATACAATTCCTGCCTTTTATTGAATAATTGTGTAATGATTCCGGTCATCTTTACATAGTATAAGAAGTCACGGCCGTTGTCTGTTCGCTTACATCTATTAAAGTACGCAACGAACTTTAATGCAATTTTTAGCAATAGATAGAGTGGTTCAAGAGAAAAGTAGCTAATAACTTATAATAAGGACCTGAAAGTTAATAAGTAATAACAACGTACCCTTCAGCGCAATGGGCTGCGGTCAAAACATAATTCTCGCTTATAATGAAGCCTCCACAAAAATATTTGTTGTCCAATATCAGGGCCACCTGATACGGCCGTTTCTCTATATCAGTCTCAACGCCGCCCACAATCTTCTCGTAATTCTCTTCAGGTATATCTGATACGTTTTCGATTATGGTGTCATTTGATATTGGTACTTTCTCTGATGGTATTAGTACGTCTCCTGAAAATATTTTATGATGGTTCATTATTATCTATACAAATAAAAAAAAAACTTAAAGTGCTTGTTCGAAATTTTAAATTAACAGACTTTTAATAAAATATGAAAGTAAATACGAGATAAAAAAATAATTTTATTAACTTTGTGTGTCTGTCTGTCTGTTTGTTTTTACTAATCTCTGAAGCGGCTGAATCGATTTTGATCAGATTTTCACTTGCAAATAGCTGCTATTAGAAGAACTAACTTAGGCTAAGTTATAAATTAAGTAGACTTCCACGCGGTTCCTGACCTGAAAACCATCATGATAAATTCCTGGTGAATTTGTCCGGATGGGCTAACTAACCTGACCATTTTCATCTTATCATACTCCAGTGTTGCCCCGCCAGTGTACACCATGCTCAGCGCAGGCGGGTGCATCATTCCATTTCTATCTACCATAAAAAATGTACCTACATTTTTTATTAACTTATTTTCATCTATAAAGAAACGTTAATGAATACAAAACTCATAAAACTATGAGCACACAGGCGAAACCGTGACTGGTTACTAATATGATGTAAGAGTGTATTTCTCTTACATCAAGAGCAAACTAAAGAAAAGCTTCTTGGAAGAGCTGGCTATTTTAGTAGTCTCATTCTACGGTCCAGATTAGAGGCTAAATGCGGAATTGAATTACAAACTTAAATAGAGTCTATATTACATTACATTACATACTAAAATAGAGTCCTTATTACATTACATTACAAACTAAAATAGAGTCCATATTATACATTACATTACAAACTAAAAGAGAGTCTATTTTATATTACATTGCGAACTAAATTAGAGTCCTTATTACATTACAATAGAAACTAAAATTGAGTCCATAGTACATTACATTAAGAACAAAAAATAAGTATACACTTAAAAGCAATATCTTATGACACGTGTACGAGAGACCCAAGGAATTGTCAATCCGACCCACGTATATGAAATAAATTGATAAATTGAATCACAAACTTTCTTTATCTGGTAGCTAATCATTTTCCCCTTCCTTTATATACGTCTTTTGTGAAATATAGGCCGCTAAGTTACTTTATGTTATATTTAAAAACTTTATTTGAACACCACATTCTAAATGACTAAGGTGGCCTCGGTGGTCTGTTGGTTTAGCGTACTGCTTTACCTCCGATGGTTGCGGGTTCGATTCATGAGTATGATTCTTTGTGTCGGCCTGGGTGTTTTCTATGTTAATTATGTATGAATTTACAAAAAGAAGTATGTATTTATTTATATCAGTTGTCTAGTACACAAGCTCTGCTTAACTTGGGAATAAATGGGCCTGTATAAATTGTCCAAAAATATTATTATTTTAGAAATTTTCACTTTATTCTATTGTTCTTTTTAGTTTCTCTTCCTGGTCCTAGTATGTAGAGTGTCTTTAATTTTGATAATATATACAATAGCTGTCTCCACGATTGCTCCCGCGTGAAATTTATAGCCTATGTTATTCTAATGTATAAGCTATATTACTGTAAAGTTTCATCACAATTTGTTTAGTAGTCTTTGCCTGAAAGAGTAACAAATATCCATCCATCCATGCATCAATCCGTACTTAAAAACTTTCGCGTTTATAACATTGGTAATTTTTTTTTTTTATTTTATTTTGGCACATAACAGTCAATACTGTACCAGTAATATAATATAACAATATGTTAATAGAAAAGACGAAACAGTGCCGAAACTTAAACTAAACAAATAAGTAATTATTACAAAACTTGTTGAAAGGATATAAATCTTAGTATACAATATATACAGTTGTTGAGTTTGTATATGTGTGTGTATATGTGGATATGTGTGTGAAAAAATATATGAGAGTACTTATATATTATTGCGTGTTCGATTTAAAAGTCGTGCAATAGAATGATGAAAATTGAAACGACTATTCGCTACTTTCTTTTGTCGCCCACACCTTCCTTCCTCTTTTTAAAAGATATGAAAATAACACGACGGTTGTTACAATTCTTGGAAGTCTTTTCTTTCAAACTAATGAACCGGTACATAATAGGGTTTCAACAAAACAAAACCTTTATAATACTACTTTTTCTACAATGCGATCTAGTAATATTGTTAATTGAATATTATTTGAAACTAGCCGTTCCCGCGACTTCGTCCGCGTGGATTTAAACTTTATTTTTCTAGAATAAAAGTAGCCTAAGTTACTCATTACCAAAAAAAGTCCCGTCAAAATCGATCCAGCCATTTCAGAGATTAGCCGGAACAAACAGACAGACAAAAACTGGAAAAAGTGTTATTTTGGTGTGTATTTATATGCATATACGGTTATATATACTCTTTTAAACTTGACGCGGTCATTATTTATAAAAATCACATATACGATTATTTCAATATTACAAACCGACACTCCAATATTATTTATATGTATAGATGAAACATTGAAATAATATTATGAATTCATTTACAAATTTGGAAGTCAATGGACTCAATTCAAACACCTAAGTTAAGTGTTAACTTCAGCCAAGTATAACATTAAAAATGTAATTGATTAAGAGTGATGAACATTTGTGGCTTAGTGTCATTCTAAGACCTATAAAAGACACGTAAATAATCTTACTATTTAAATACGTATCTATAATCTCTACGTTCTTCTTGCTACCCCAATAAATTGGAGTCAAATCTGACGGAATATATCTGTATGTAATATTTCAGGGAATTCCTCCCTACACGCTAGAGTACTACCTAAGTGGACTCGGACAGTGCGGTTTCAGAGGAGCTTCCTCCCGCTTATGCTTAGATTGTGGAATGAACTTCCTGCTGAGGCTTTCTCGCGAGATTACTGCATGTGGTTTCTCCAAGAAGGGTATATTAAGGTTTCTTAAGAGTCGGTAACGTGCACGTGGCACCCCTGGTGTCAATAGGCTAACCAAATGTTTATCCTATTAATGGTAAATTTTTTTAGTCAGATGGCGCTGGTAAATAATGTCAGATGGGGTTTAGTAGTAGTATAAAAAAAAATCAGACAGCTACAGATAAGTTCTTATCATTAGATATGATGATTTAGCGATAACAGTTCTAAATTGCAAGTTTTACTAAATTTTTAGTACTGAATACTTACCAAAAATGGAACTCGTGTGAACAAACTCAAAAGATAGTAATAGTATAAAAAACATTTTATCGTTTAACAATACGAACGCAGGGGAAATTTATCTATTAATGAGCCAAATGTCACCGTGTCCCTATTTATTCTCGCGTCATTTGAATGTCGTATATAAATTACCCACATGCATTTAGTCAAGTTCTGTCATACTTAATAACCGTTAGATAAGTTAGGCCAGGAGCCGGCGATGTATTTTATTATTTTGTTATTCTACGTGTATTACTCAGTCATAGCATACTGACTTCTGAATATCCATATGTTTTTTTTAATACTATAATAGTTTTTTTTTTATTTAGGACTAACAAACAGTAATACAATTTTAGTTTATTTATTTATTAAATACTAGCTGTGGCCGTGGTTTCATCTGCATGAAATTTATAGCCTATATCAGGGTTAGCGAACCAATGGCACGCGTGCCATTGACAGCACGCGACATAATGTTTTGGGCACGTCGTCGATCATCAATACTGTTTGAAGAAGCTGGCTTATGCTATTTTAACAATATTTTCGCCTACCTATGCCTGCTAGTCACTATTTTCAGAGATGAATAACATTAAAAACTCGATTAGAAACCGTATGACAGATAAATCCAGTTCAGCTTGCATAAATTATTTGTTATCTAACCTGCGGCAACAGAAATCAACTAATTTTAAAAGTAATTTAATTTATGCGTGTAATGAAAACAATCCAAAATGTGCCTCTTTTGTTTAGTTTAATTCATAGAGAGTTTTGATAGTATTTATTATTATTATTTTCCAAATTAATAGAAAGTCAAATTTATTTGATGGCACGTCAATGACCCCATTAAACGTTTTTTGGAAAATATGGCACGTTGATGCTTAAAGGTTCGCCTACCCTGGCCTATATGTTATTCTGATGTATAAGCTATATCACACTAAAGTTTCAACAAAATCTGTTCCGTAGTTTCTGTATGAAAGAGTTACAATCATCCACCCATACTACCAAAAGTTTCTCAATTATAATATTAATAAGATAGAATAACATACAAAATAATGGTAAGTATAATAGGATCTATTGTCCTATATAGTTTTCTCGAATTAAGTATAGAGCAAACAGAAATATCTTTAAGCAGTGAATTATAAATAAATACATATATACTTACACAAATAATGTATCTATTAAATTAAATATATAGTTTTCGAATAAATATATACACGTATATCTGTTCTTGGAATTCAGACTATTATGTATCAAATATCTTTCCAATCAGTCCAGAAATAGGAATATGAAACAAATAACTATAGATCAAACGAATTTCTATCTCTGTCCACAGTAGAGTGGAGTCGTTATTAAATGTTTATTTTTTCACTATGCAAATTATTACAGAAACTCATTATTGACTTTTTTTATCTTATTATGTATGTATTCACGTAGGTAAAAGTAAGTATACAATGAAAAATCACAATAAAGTAACTGTGTCATGTAAATTTGCAAGTTACTTGCAAAATTCAACACGAGGTTATGCTCGCGTAAATTTAGTATTAGAGTTAATGAAAATTCTTTATTCTTCTCCTCATAGAAAAAAAAAACATTTATATACACTACTATGTACAAATATATAAATATATGTAAACATACAGTAATGAGAGCCAAGAATATCGGCATTATCGCTATCAAGCGCTGTAAAGCGATTTCTTCTAACCTTAGGATGGAGAGAAGCGATTTGACTTTACTTTTAATTATCATAAAAGTATACATAGATTACTTAATAGTAATCGATGTAATAGTTCCTCCATTTTATTATCATTTCAATTTCATTAGGCTAATGGTACTTCTAACTTTATCACATACACTAAAAGTACATACGTAAATAAATAATGTCAATTTGACTTCAGTCAATTTCATTGATATTATCAGTAACAAAAAATATTTTAATTTTATTAATAACATTACCAATTTTTATAAGCACAACATAAGGCAATTTAGTAATAACCTGAACACAATTTGTTTATTAAAAATATTACAGATAGCAATATACTGAATATACATTTCCGAGAATAGAATAGAATAGAAAATTCTTTATTCGAAGAAATTTAAATTTAAGCACTTTTGAATAATCATATTTATTTATTTTTTAATCTACCGCATTTGGAAAACTGTGTCATCACGATGATTGAGATGTTTAATTAGAATTTATTATTATTTAAATAACTAGTTAAATAAAAGATTAGCTGATACCGTTGGAGATAACAAATAACCTATATCCTAAGGATTCTTAAACCCATTTCAATAAAGTATCAATACAGAAATGATTTAAATGTTTATAGGTTTAGACAATTTAACAGATTTATTCCATACTAATGCTATAAAAGCGAAAAACGTTAAATGGTACGTGTTTTAGTATTCTAACAAAACCTAACATGCTCGTATCTCAGCAAACTCGGGTAATAATCAAATTAAACCGTGCCTAGTAAATTCTAATATTCAATTAGAATTATATTCTAATACTAAATCCAATATCGGCTGTATTCACGTGAGGATCTAACTAACCTGGGAAACACTCGAAATACAGTAAATTTCTTAATTAAGACTGTATCGGACTGTATGTAACGGATGTAACGGTAAAAGAAACATATTTTTTCCATAATTAATTTACAACATATGTATGTATTTTGATTGCATTGTATATTCATCATCATCATTTCAGCCCGGAAGACGTCTACTGGTGAACAAAGGCGTCCCCCAAAGATCTCCAGGACGAAATTTATATTGTATATTATAACTATATTAATATTACAAAGCTGAAAGTTTGTTTGTTTGATCGCGCTAATCTCAGGAACTACTGGCCCGAAATGAAAAAATATTTTTGTTAGATGGTCCAGGTCAAGGAAGGCTTATAGTTTTCGCAGCGCATGGGGTGTTACGTATTTTTTACACCTTGGGTTACATTATTAGAGTTTTAGTATAGATCCCAATTTTTTTTGAAAATATCATATAACCTATGACACTTAGGGATAGTGTAGCTTCCTAATCAAGAAAGAATTTTTCAAATCGGTCCAGTACATAGATTCGAAACCTATTCAATACAAACAAACAAACAAACTTTTCCTCTTTATAATATTAGTTTAGATAAAAATATATCAAGATAGTAGACATAGTGCCAAATAATCCAAAGCTATGTAGAGCTGGTGTCATGTACTAGAGATCTGACAGAAATACTTAAATTCATATTTTTGTAAATACATGCATGATATATGTAGGAAATAGAACCAGCGTCCATCGGAAATGAAGTGATATGTTAAACCGCTAGAACCCCGAGGCCGTTAATTACAGGAATAATAAAAAAAATATATATTACATTATTAGTACTGCTTATTACAACATATTATGAGTAGTACCACTTTCATTAGTATTTATTCGCTAATAATTGTAAGTATATGACTTGCACCTCCTCTACATGTGTGACAAATAGACAGATGATTGGTAATGCCGACTAGAGTCGATCTAACAACCTTCAAACACATCTGTAATGTTTAAATTTTAAACATTTTGAAGAATATTTACGTCAATTCGTGTGAAAGGTTAAGTATTCACCAGAAAAATACGGGCTGTCTGTATTGAAAGAAAAAAAACAAGAAAATCACTCGAAAATATAATGCTAGAAGGTGACTAGATTTTTAGTCAAATATATATACCGTATACTGCGGGAAAAGAAGTAGCATAGTAGGTATACGAAAACCATACGATAGATTTAATTGAAGAAAATAATGTTAATTTTAGAATTGTTTTTTTATGTTTAAAAATTAATCAATGCATACTGTGTCTACATCTATAAGGATGTATTACTTAAATAGTTTATTTCATCTGTGGAAGATTATGTTCTCTGTAAGACATCCAATTTTATAGACCTAATAATATATATTCATTTATTTATATAGATTAACATTTATATATTTACTGCAATACAATTTTTTATTTCTATTGTCTGTAGTCCCCAAACTAGGTCGAACCTCTATCTTATACAATATATATATATATATGTTATGTGTATTCTAGATATATACAAAATAGAAGGCAATGTTATACACATTAAATAAACAAAAACTAGTTTTAATATCGGCATAAGTGGGCATAGGATGTAGTCTTTCCTCTTCAATTTAGCAGAATCTGCAGATTTTTGTTGTGCATAGATCTAGTTTTGGCAAAAGTGTTTTTTGGTATTTGTAATGTTCGCATTTCGTATCTATAGTTCAAATGATAGCTATAGACATGAGTAGGTCATTTTTATTCATATTATTCTATATTTCATTTCAAGCCTATTCTGAACATTATTAAATTCTAGCCCGCTATGCGTGGAATATATAAGAATATATATATAGGAATATATAAGATTTGAAATCGCAACCTCTACATTTTATGAGGCGCAGTTTTGAACCACTAGACCGTTACATACCAATTTGATTTTGGGTTCTCAAAAGGTCAATACCAACAATGTAATTTTCCTGTTACATTTCATGATACAATCAAATGATATGATATATAAATTATGTAATATCGTAATGGTTTAATAATGACAGATCGACAGATATTCCATCGATTGTCTCTTCATTTCATTGTGCTCCCATTTGTTATGTCTGACATTTTTAGATTTCTAAAAATATATTCCTAATTCTGTATGTATCAAATCAGATAATATTCTAACATACTAGTAATAAATGTCATCATAAAGCGTTTTATGAATAGATTATATATTGGCCGTTTAATTTTTCACTGATGCTCTACTATGGTCGTATAGGGACATTAGCCAGGTATATCATACATACATACATACATAACATCATACAGCCACTATCCTTTTACGATAAATTGGGTATCCAACAAATATATTATCATATCAAACTAGTAGTTTCTGAGATAAAGCACATTCGACCAGACAAACAAACATTTCAATTTTATCTTATATACAAAATTCTCGTGTCACAGTTTTCGTTCCCATACTCCTCCGAAACGGCTTGACCGATTCTCATGAAATTTTGTAAGCGTATTGAGTAG